CATAGCTACCACTCGTAAAAGATAATATGTGCCAGGTCAAGAACACTGCATGCTTGGAATGTATTGAATCCCTGTCAACTAAATAGGGGTGCCTTTATCACAAAACGTACATCAAATTGCTCCTTAACATTGATGCAATACATCCATTGTTGTATTTCTCACTTAACTTTCTCCCTATTTTTCCGCTCTCACAAAGCGTAAGGTGAATGGTTCAAATATGGACGCTTCAGAAAGCAGATAATTTATTAGGAATTATGGGGTTTATTGAACGTCCTCCTGCTCTTAAATGAATACTGGGACCCCCCTGTTTTATTTCCAAATTTCAGTTCTCTTGATGTAAGCAGCTAACAGGCAAAGTTTGAAAGAAAATCTATATTTGTGAGTTCTATTTCGATGGAATTACCTTAAGTCCGTAACAATGACAGTTCCAGTGCAGCAATATGGTGGATGGAAACGGAATTATTACCCATCAGGCTTTTCGATATATTAGGTGATGACACATTTGCCTTCACTTACTTTCGTTGATGAGGCAGAAGGAAAATATCTCCCGGAATTGATGCTTTTCAGTTGATGATTGCTGAGGAAGCCTTTGAATATTCTCGCCGAATGAGCGTTCACAACTGTTCTGGTATACGAATGCGCTTGGATGGGTATGTCAGTTTTCCAGATCCATTCATTCTTGTCTGGATCATAACGTTCTACTCTTGTATCAGATGGTGAGGCCTCAAAATTTCGAATGTTCATGTAGCTGCCAACAGCATACAGCTGGTCATCTACTGACAAAAGCTGGGGATGTACCTCCCGTCTGAATTTCAAGCTTGCAATAGACTGCCACTCATTTGTTGTTTCACTGTATACTTCACATTGACACCCTCCAGTGATGAAAATTCTCCCGTTACACACAGCTCCGCTGGGGAACTTTTTCGGTCGTAGAATGTCAGCTACCTTATCCCACTGGTTTCTGCAAAGATTGTACCTGTAAACATCAGTGCAGAGCTTTAACACATTCCTTTCAAGTCTTTCTTCACCGCCAATAAAATAGACAAAATCATCTTTGGCTACAATGCAAAAATCTTTTCTTCTATCCAAATGATCAAATGAAGTTACATCTTCCCATGAATTTGATTGCACTTTGTACTTTCTGATAGAGGAAATGCATTTTTCCCTGTCATTGTTAATCTCTCTGGACCAGCGATCTCCGTTTTCCACAGCTCGCATTTCAGACACCAGAGCATACATTTCATTGTCTTTACAAACAAATATTTCCCGTAATGCCCATCTGTCAAAATCTATGTATGGTAATCTTGTCCAACAGTTCGAGTATGGATTATAGCAGGCAAGTGGACACCTCAGATCAGACCATTGCCGGAATGAATCCAGTACCTTACTATATAGTTTACCTCGATAAAAGACAAATTCTCCCTTCCCTGAACATTCACGAGGCATTTCACCTAGCTTACACCATCTTCTCTCACCAGGAAAATAACACAAAATAGGTTGACCACTCAGTTCCCAGTTGATGTTGCGCACCGCACTAGTGACAACTATAACAGAGGTCTCGAGCGACTTTCTAGGTAAAATGGGCAAATTACCGTAGTTTTGTGAGTCAATTAAATTTACAGCGTCCACCACACAGTTCAGACAGCTTTCATTATCTTTCACCAAATCATTCTTTCGAATATCATTGGTTAGAAAGTCACGCGATGCAAAAACAAGTCGAACGTGACGAAATAACTCGGCGAAATATTTCTTTCGTTTTTCTCTGTCGTGATCAATCCATGCCAGAATGATCTTAAACACGTCTTCTTCGGCGCCAACATTTATTTCATCACTTGAAAGCCACATTTCCATTTCTTTGCTCGACATATTAAGAACCTCTTCACGGTTCGTTTCGTATACAGCGTTGAAATTTGCAAGGATGCACTTTTTGCTCTTGGCCAAAAGTTCTTCGCATTGATATCTCTGGGAAACATGGTAAACTGAAATACAATTTGAAGTATTCAACATCTTTACTAAAGCTGCCTCAGCGAGCGTTTTTAAGCCCGGAAGAAATAAATAATCGGCTGAAACGACAAGGTCTTGGGCATTCTCTTCCGCTAATATCGGAACATCACTCGTGTAAATAAACTGCAGTGTATTTCTCATAGCAGACTCGGAAAACATCTCCAAACGAACAATTCCTTCTCTGGACTCCTTCATGTCGCTGTTTAGCAGTTTTTCAAAGAAGGGACTTGCCTCTGAAAGAACTTGTTTATGAGCTTTGAATTCTTTGCCATCTTCGACCACCAAAATGACATCGCATCGCTGATCAGGCGTCTCTTTTGGCATAAAGAGTTCATTTTCTTTCCTTGGACTTGAAGTAACACAATCAGAATTATCTTCAGACTGAGATAAGGCTGCCATTTCTTGCGGCTCACCAAAATAGAAGACTTAGTTTGAAAGACGTTAGACTGCGAAGGATTTCGTTTGACTTTCCTCTTGTCGTTTCCGGTATCTCGGCTCTATTTCGGTTCCGTTTGTTCTTCCGGAAATAACGATCGGAAAACTCATCCGTGTTCGCAGACTGTTCGTAGACCTTCGTAGATCCGATTTTTGAATGTTCTCTGTGATGCATTGCACCCAATACGAAGGTTAGGAAAAAGCACTTGGTCCCTCCTCTCGATCGGTAGCAAGGGGAATACACGATATGTTCGCGCATGGTTTACGGCAGCGCGGAATATTGAATACAGCGGTTGTTAGAAGGGTGTCTGGAAAACCCGAATAGCGAATAGCGAATAGTCGCGAACAGCGAATAGCGAATAGTCCCGAATAGTGCGAATAGTCTCGAATAGTACGAATAGTGGCGAACAGTCGCGAAAAGTGACGAATAGTGACGAATAGTCGTCAATCACCGCTTTAGATCTAATATCCAGCATTAATTAATTATCCAAATAAGCAACAGAATTTCAGTGAATTTATTACCTTTTCTTCTCCGGACTCAGGCTAGTAGGCTGTCCATTG